CCTTGCGGAAATATCTGGTACTCCCACCCCTAGGGTGCTCCCCGTGCTCCAAAACTCGGTAGCACATTTTTAAATGTTCAGAAAATTCTGAAAAAAATCCAACACGTTGACACAACATCAAAGTATGTTGTCAAATTTTTTTTGAAACATAGCTTGGGAAACATAAATGACATATTCGACAGTAAATAGTACACAACATAAGTTGGGCTTTGGATTAGGCCCATTATCACATTGATGTCCATTTTGTCATTTTTGTATCTCGAGCAATGTTTCGAATTTTGATTTGAATTTTTTGGACAACATACATTGATGTTGTGTCAATGTGTTGGATTTTTTTCAGAACTTTTCAAACGTTTTAAAATGTGCTACCAAGTTTGGAGCAACGGGAGCACCCGAGGGGTGGGAGTACCAGATATTTCCTTGAGGGGTAGATAATACTTGTAGATAGTCATAAGACAGGTATAATTCTTTTGCTAAAAAAAGACAGGCATAATTCTTTCCACCGTTGCATCGAGACGCAAGCTTTGCGTTTTATATGAGCAAAAAATCCTCTGAGATTCCAAGCCGTCGCTGTCTGCCACCATGTGCATATGCAGAAGGTAGGGCTTGAGCATTCACACCCCAAGTGGTTGTATCGGGAGCCAGATTCCGAACTTGAAAGTCAGAGCGACCAAAGAGGCAGGCTGTGCGTGCCAACATTTCCTTCTTTATTTTTTTGACCGGCCGTGTCAACATTTTTTCTTAATCAAGGGAATACGAACACTTTAAGCTGGCGAAATGTTAAAAACACAAATCTTAATGCCTGCTCGGTTTCTCTCCGCTCCCGCGACTCAGCTCCCGGAGCGGAGCAGGCTGCTGCCACTTTTTACGGAGCAGCTCAAAGTGAGCTCTGCAGCTCCACGCAGTGGAGAGATTCCAAACAGGGCCTTAATCTCACCCAGGGTAGATGTGCTATGCAGAGCAGAGCAGACATGCCCCAATTGCCAACTGTGCTCGGTCTGGCCTTTGGTCTGTAAAATATGTTCCCCACTGGTTGACTAATCCTCCTATCGCCATTAAACCATTACAAGGGTGATGGATTCTCAATCAGTGAGATCAGCCAATGGGTTTTAAAAATGAAAATTAGTAAGAAGAAGCACTATAATCTGCGTTTGAAATTGGAGACTTGCACAAGTTTTATAACAACTGGACAGCAATTAGTTCAGCTTCCATGGAAATCGGCAAGAGTTCATGCACCCAAACAAGTATCTGCTCGACAAGGGCCCACGCCGCCCTCTTCGGCATAGCGAGAGAAACGCAGGTGCCAGGTGTGTAACCATCTGAACCGATTACCATGTACCCCTACAAAGCCACAAAATGAGTAAATGTTTTCTGCATTACATGATTTCATCAGTGATACCATCAATACATGTAGAACATATCACATACTTTGCCAGATGTATACTATGGAAACACGACTTATTTCTTGTTTTCCAAACAGTCAAAACAGAGATGCCACCAATTGGCACAAACTTTCTCTCTTTCACAGCATAGCCCAACTCTGACAAAGATAAACAAGAGATGAAGGGACGTTAATTGTTATAGCCCCCACAAAACTCACTGAGTATCTATCCAAGGGGCAAGCAAATAATAGAAGATCTGTGGATTCATTAACTCCACAGAACTCACACGTTTCTGAGCCTTGGCAACCCCTGCTGTTAAGGTTGTGTTTAGTCCAAGTCTTATTCATCCTTAATTACCAGCCAAACACATAATTTGATTACCAGCCAAACACTGGCCGGACAGGAAAAACATAAAAACTATACAGCGGGAACTTGGAGGGGAAAATAGATCAAGAGCGGAGTTGCACATCTCCCGGTGGAGAGAGAATCAATGTTTTGGATTGAGAATATCAGGGCAAAGTAGGAAACAGATCAAAGGCCAGGTAAAAAATGGTTCAAACTCGTATTGATTCACCAAACCAACCATGTCACTTAACTCCAAACAACAGGGAAAACATGGGTACATTTTCAAGGGGACTCGTTAGCAAGGTCGTCGTCAAGCTAATCCAGAGCAGATGGCACATGCATGCTACATCAACAAGGGTTAGTCTAATCCCTAATTCACAAGTTGAACAGTATAAAACCTCCAAGTCACGTCTTCCAAAATATTCATGAATCATATACACTCAGTTTAGCATCATCGGTCTATTGACTATGCATATTCCGTCAAATTTAAAATCCTATGCCACAATTATCATTACGGAAGCTGATGCCTAAACAATTTTTTTTCTCAGTATCATTACGTTTTGCCTTGTCACCATGCTGACGAACAGCTGCGCAGCTAGCATTAGGCTCAACCGCTCAACCTCCGAGTTCCACTGTCATCAGATTAAACCGCTAGCGCTATATATCTGAGGGGGCTAGACACCATGTCTTTCACCAGAGTTGAGACTCGAGGTGCTATTTCCTGTAGACAACGAGCAAATGGTGCATCCAGAGCAAAGCAATGATGATAACCTCATGCTGGACCTGCGCAAGTACATCCTGGTGATGGCCATCCTGGCGGCGACGGTGACCTATGTCGCTGGGCTCAACCCGCCTGGAGGAGTCTGGCTGAGCAGCAAGGACGGCTACCTCATCGGCAACCAGATTCTTGTGGTGACGGACCACCCCCGGTACAACGCCTTCTTCTACAGCAACGGGGCCGCATTCATGGCGTCGGTCGTGGTAATCCTCCTCCTCCTCCTCGTGGAGCAGAGGGAGAATGCCGAAAAAGGCTCCTCGCCCCGCTTTATAGATAAAGCAATAACCACGCGGTGGTGGCAGAATCCCAAGCCGCTCATCCTCCTCGCGCTGAGGGTGGTCATGGCGCTGGACATGCTCGCGCTCATGGTGGCATACGCTGCAGGGGCCAGCCGTGGAATGGTCACAACTGTCTTCTCCTCCGTGCTGGTATCTGTTGTCTCCATCTATGCTGTGTTTCATATGATCAAGTATATCAGCGCAGGAAAACTGGAAGAAAATGCTGAAGCCAGTGGCGAGGATAAAAAACTTGAGCGGGCACGTCAGATTATGATGTTGTTTGCAATTTTTGCGGCAACAATAACCTACACGGCGGGGATGAGCCCCCCAGGTGGCTTCTGGCCGGATACCCAGGACAGCCACCGTGCCGGTGACCCGGTCCTGCTAGATGACCACTCACGCCGGTTTGTGGCCTTCTTCGTCTGCAACACCTTTGCATTCATCACATCCCTAGCTGCCATCATGCTACTTACAACCGTCACCAGCAAGCTCGAGGAGGGCTCTTACAAGAAGTGGTGCCACCATGCGCCATACGTGTGCGTAAACGTGGCATTGCTTGGCCTTTTCGTGGCCTACGCCATTGGGAGCTGCAGGAAGACTCGCTCTACCGTCTACTTATTCAGTCTGGTTCTCCCGGTTCTCATATACACCGTTCTCCAGTTCATGATCCAGAAATTCCTGGAGCAATTAAAAAGGTACCTGCCTGAATCAATTACTAGCTAGTATTACTATGGGTGTGTGTTCAATCGGCTTAATTATCTCATGATAAGAATTTCTCCAATCTGTATTGCAGACTTCTAGCATCATGTTTGATCGAGAACAATCTAAGATCATGCTGGGGCAGGAATGACAATGACCATGAGAAAGACAACCGGCTGAAGAAGGCCCATTCTCTCGTACTGCTACTTGCAACCCTTGCCACGACCATCACCTACCAAGCGGGGATGAACCCACCGGGTGGCTTCTGGCCCGACAACCGTGACGGGCACAAGGGAGGTGACCCGGTACTTGTAACCACGCATGCTAGACGCTACAGGGTGTTCTTCTACTGCAACTCGGTCGCCCTTGTGACTTCCGTAGTTGTCATCGTCATGGTCCTGAGCAAGCATGTGACATCAAGCGTCGTCCACAAGCGACACGCCCTGGAGGCTGCCATGATACTAGACCTGCTCAGCCTCATGGCTGCGTATGCAGTCGGCTGTTGCCGGGATGTAACCACCTCCCTCCACGTCATCGCTCTGGCTGGTGCAGTATTGGTCTACGTGGTGATCCACATCGTCTTCTTCACGCTAGATCCTAAGGTCAGGCCGGAGGAGGAGATGAACAAGAAACGCAAGCTGCTGCTGCTGCTAGCCATCTTGGCCGCAACCATCACTTACCAAGCTGGGTTGACCCCACCTGGCGGCTTTTGGGGTGAGGACGACGGGTTTGGTCATAGAGCAGGTTATCCTGTCCTCTTGAGTAACTACCCTCGCCGTTACACAACGTTCTTCTACTGCAACGCCACGAGCTTTATGGCATCCATAGCCATGATCATCCTCCTTGTGAATCCGAACCTGTACACACCCGGCATAAATTGTTATGCACTCTATGTGTGTGCTCTGGCGGGCTTATTTGGCCTCGTGGGTGCCTATGTCGCAGGAAGCTCCCGGCATGTGCGGACATCCATCATTGTGGTTGCATTGGTTGCTGTGGTGTTCGTGTTTGTCATCTTACTGCTTATAGTGCTGAAGCAGAATAAAGATCCCAAGCCTACAAAGAGCCAGGTAGATGAAAAGGGCACAGAAGAAAAAAATATCCAGGAAGATGGAAAGGGTACAGAGGAAAAAATGATCCAGGAAGTTGAAAAGGGTACAGAAGAAAAAAAGATCCAGGAAGATGAAGAGGGTACAGAAGAAAAAAAGATCCAGGAAGTTGAAGAGGGTACAGAAGAAAAAAAGATCCAGGAAGATGAAGAGGGTACAGAAGAAAAAAAGATCCAGGAAGATGAAGAGGGTACAGAAGAAAACAAGATCCAGGAAGTTGAAAAAGGTACAGAAGAAAAAAAGACTCCGGAAGAAAAAAAGCGTACTATTAAAGAAAAAAAAGAATACACCAAGGGAAAGTATTTGATGCTGGTGGGCATCTTAGTGGCGAGTGTCACCTATCAGGCCGGCCTTACTCCACCCGGCGGAGTGTGGCCGGACAGCAGCAATGGGCACACGGCTGGCGACTCGGTCCTGCATGACAGCAACAAGCACCGGTACCGTTTTTTTTTCTACAGCAACTCCATTTCCTTCCTAGCGTCGGCCATCGTCATCCTCCTACTCCTGCTGGACAAGCCACTGTTTTCGGAGAAGGGACTCCTAGGCATGAAGAGCAAGGAGCTGCTCCGAGTAGCGCAGTCTTCGGTTGTGCTGGCCTTGCTTGGCCTCCTTTGGGCATATGCCTCTGGCTGCAGCCGCGAGTGGGAGACATTTGGTTACATTGGCGCACTTGCCTTTGCCGTGCTGCTCTACATTGCCATCCATGTGGTACTATCGTGCCGTGACAAGAAAGACGAGTCTCCTGCCAAGCAATGCAATTGCAAATGCATATGTAAAGCCGGTGGAGGAGCACTGGAGGGAACTAAAGTTGGGGCTAACAATGTTTAGGGATCTTCTGCTCACATGTGTATCTCCTTTGTATGTACCTATGTGCTGAGTTGTTAATTGTTACTTCCCAAAAGCTTCTCTGTAACATTTTGGAATTGATCTTCTCGTTCAGATCCAAAATTCAGAATTTCTATCCTCGGGAAAAAGAGGACAAAAGAAAACTAACACCACGAAAGATACATACAGTTGTAATATGGTCTTTGAGTGAATAAAAAAATACATCAGTAGTGCAACCTGCGTGTAGTGCCCACATGCTGTGGACAAGACAACTGGAGCAAATATATCTGGTGCTTCATCAAGTATCAATTCCAGTCTGTAATGTAGGGCTACTCATAACAGTGGTGTATCTAGGAAATAACGATGGATTTGCATTCTTGTTAACCATAGATTCTCAAGGACATGTTTATGCAAATTCTTCACAAATATTTGTGACAAAAGGCAACTAGACACGCACCTGGAGCCTTTCTAGGCATCATTCCAACCCAGCCAATCCAAAACTCACCAGCTTACCTATCCAATGGCACCCGACCCTGCAAACATAGCATTAAAACCTATGTAGTATCACAAGGACAATTCGGCGATGACCAACCTTGCAGTCGCACAAGGCCATTTTGTTGAAAATGATCTGGGCGACCTCCACAGGGGTGGTATCTCAATTCATAGACCAGCCTGCATCCAAGCACTCCTGAATATATAATTATACATTAGCATGAATGCATGATGTTACATTGTACTGCAACTTAGACAAGACAGTTAAATCATAAGTGTTGGAATAAATGTTTTAGTCACCTTATATTCAGAGAGGAAATGTTAACATCCAGTAGCTGGTGCAAGTTGCAATTGAAAAAAAAAAGTTACTAGTAAGAGACGTGCCCACATATTTAGTTGACTTGAGAATCGGATCACAAAGTCTATATGACATGTTTGCAAACTAGTCCTCTGTCTTATGGACACCAAGTCAAGTCTGTATGGAAAAAAAATATCAAGCCCACTATCTTTCTGTTTACATAGCCAGTACACCACTTTCAAGTTTCCAGTTCACGTTGACATATAAATTACTATGCAAGTTCATCTCTGATCTTACATACTCCCTCCGTCCCAAAATAAGTGACTCGACTTTGTACTAACTTTAGTACAAAGTTGAGTCACTTATTTTGGGACGGAGGGAGTACAATGTTAGGAACTAAACCCTTGCACATTACTTGGCTCATAGTCCGATGTCTGTTAATTACAAACAACTTGAAAGGAGGTGTATGAAGAGAAGATAAGACCTCATGTTTTAATCAACAGAATTCAACAAAGTGTGGTAATGTCAGAGCTCCACTTATTCTGACATGCAAATATCCAGAACTGCGATGGCCAAGCAGGGCAACTATATATCAACGGGAAAGAGATAAAAGCGCTTAAAATTACATCCTTGATAGTGTAAGGAACCTCTTTCCCTGCACTGTCAAGTAAATGGAGCCTGAGAATCCAGTTGAAAGCAAAAGGAATACAACTTTAGGAAGTACCTCCTGCTGCTGGCCACTTTGGTTGCTTCCATGATGTCTGTCGCAGGATTCAACTCGCCAGGGGGAGTACGGCATCAGAAGCCGCAGAGCCACTGACAATGCCATCTACGTGTGCAGTCTCGGTGGTGTCATTCTTGAATACATTTTCTTCCACGTGGTGTTTCATGGGTGTGCCATGGAAGTTGAAGTGACTCAGACCAACAGCAGGTACTGAACGCATAATTCTTCTGCTTCCTAAGATTCCTTTTCATTCTTCATGACTCAACTGATCAAGCATGTTTATCTGAAAAACAGAATGCAGCTTCTGTACTGCCCTTGGAAACTCCGAGCCTAATATCCTTTTCCTTCTCCTATTGTTCCTTTGAAGGACGTAAACTCTAAGAAATTGACCAAGTGATTTACGTATGGAATACAGTCTTGCAGATACACTTAATGGCTTCGAAATTTGAGTTATAGCTGGGGACCGGATTCCTGTAAAGGGCTCATGACTTTGTGCCTACCTATCCTACTGATGGATAAGTCTGTGTACTAGGGTCGTTGTGGGGCTGCAGCACATGGTCCTTATGGCAGTTAGGATAGAGTTCCTGACCATCAAGGACTGGCAGTTAGGATAGCATCTTAGACTAGCATCTTAGACTGGCATCTTAGCAGCATCTCAGCATATGCTTGGCTGGCTAGCAGCCTATAAGTATGTATCCCCAATCCCTCAGGTTGGCATGGCATTGTGTGAGAAATAAACCAAAGAAAATTGTCCCAACTCTCCTAGTGTCATCCACAACTATCAATGCTCAGGTTCAAAGGTCTAACAAGTGGTATCAGAGCCTCGTTATCTTGTACCCTGAGCATTTCCTGTGAGCAGCCCAAGTCGGTAGCAGCAGCTGCTCCGTCTGCCTCTGGTTACCTTCCTCCCCCCGGACTGTCGAGCAGCAGTTCGTCTTCAACATCCTCCTCTTCACGGAACAGCCCCCTGCAGCGAGCCATGTCTGCAGGTCGCTCTCAGCACACGGCTACCTTGAGTATGCGGCGCCGGCAGGAGGCCGAGCGCGCCGTGGCAGAGGAGCGTGAGCGAGCAGCTGTAGCAGCAGCTGCTGCGGCAGCAAGGGTGTCGAGGCTGGCTGCAGCGGAGCTAGCAACAGCCAGAGCGGAGGTAGAAGCAGCCAGGGCGGAGGTAGAAGCAGCAGCAGCAGCAGACGCAGCACGTGAGGCTACGGCGGATGCCAAAGCACTCCGCGGCGGCTCCGGCAGCTCCAACAGCTCCGCGCCTGCGGACGACGGCGCTGACGCAGACCGCGCCAAAATGGCGCAAGAGCGGACGACGCAGTGGGCAGCCGAGCACGCCCGCGCTCCAGGTGGAGGTGCGCACCGCGACGGCGGCTGCAACGACCAGGACCGCGGCCTCTACGAGGTCCGGACTGTGGTCAGGGACGTTGGTCCCAGTGCTGGGTGGCCTACCCTCACTAAAACCAACTACATCGAGTGGGCCGGGATCATGAAGGTCAGGCTCCAGGTGCGGCGCATGTGGGAGGCAGTCCAGGACAGCAACGTCGACCACCAAGAGGACCGACGGGCGCTGGACGCCCTCATCGTCGCAGTCCCGCCCGAGATGCAGTTCTCGCTTTCCAGCAAGCGGACTGCCAAGGAAGCTTGGGACGCCATCGCCGCGGCACGCATCGGCAGCGACCGTGCTCGCAAGTCCACTCTGCAGGCACTTCGTAAGGAGTGGGAGAGCCTGGCTTTCAAGCCAGGTGAGGACATTGATGACTTTGCTCTCCGTCTCAACACTCTGCTGCAGAAGTTGGTGAAGTTTGGTGATGCCACCTACACCGAGGAGAGAGCTGTCGAGAAGCTTTTTCGGTGCATCCCCGAGAAGTACAAGCAGATGGCTCGGTCGATCGAGTCTTTGTTGGACCTCTCCACGATGACAATCGAGAAGGCGATAGGTGCCTCAAGGTCGTCGACACCGACGAGCCACAGCCTTCCTCGGGGCCCATCACCACCGGCGGGAAGCTGCTCCTAACTCGGGAGCCGTGGGATGCCAGCCTTGGTGACAGGAAGAAGGGGGAGCCTTCTTCCACGACGGGCGGCCGCAAGCGTGGCAAGCAGCGTAAGACGCGAAGAGGCCCCCCAGGCAGGGCACAAGGACGTGCCGAAGGGGACGCCCGTGGAGGCGCCAAGGACGGCGCCGCTGGCAAGCCCAAGCCGGCACAAGACAACAGCTGCCACAACTGTGGCAGGTTTGGCCATTGGGCCAATGAGTGTCGGCAACCACGACAAGGCTAGGCTCACGTCGCACATGCGAAGGAGGAGGAGACGGCTCTGTTCATGGCGCATGCAAGCATTGAGCTATCTTCAGCGACACCAGTCGCAAAAGCTCTCATCCATCTCAACGAGCCAAAGGCGCACGCTCTTCTCGGCGACGCCTCCGGGAAGGACAAGACTACGGGGTGGTGCCTCGACACAGGCGCCACCCACCACATGACCGGTCGAAGGGAATTCTTCGCTGAGCTCGATTCTGATGCGCGAGGCTCCGTCAAGTTTGGGGATGCCTCCGCTGTGGAAATTAAGGGCGTCGGCTCCGTCATCTTCACCACCAAGACGGGAGAGCACCGGCTGCTCACCGGTGTCTACTACATCCCTGCGCTAAGGAACTCCATCATCAGCTTGGGACAGCTGGATGAGAATGGCTCACGCGTGCTGATTGAGCATGGGGTCCTACGCATCTGGGATCGCCACGGTCGCCTTCTCGCCAAGGTACTCAGAGGTGGAAATCGACTCTACATCCTTGATGTGCAGGTGGCACAACCGGTCTGTCTCGCTGTCCGTCGGGACGACGAGGCGTGGCAATGGCATGAGCGCTTTGGGCATCTTCATTTTGAGGCCCTGAAGCGTCTAAGTGCCAAGGAGATGGTACGAGGCCTGCCATGCCTCGACCATGTGGAGCAGTTCTGCGACATCTGCGTACTGACGAAGCAGAAACGACTCCCTTTTCCCCAACAGGCGAGTTTTCGGGCCAAGGAGAAGCTGGAGCTCGTGCACGGAGACTTGTGCGGCCCGGTGACGCCAGCCACACCAGGAGGTAGACGCTACTTCCTGCTGCTCGTCGACAATCTCTCTCGCTACATGTGGGCGATGATTCTCGGCAGCAAGGGAGAAGCGGCGGACGCCATCAGGCGCGCGCAGGCTGGTGTGGAGGCGGAGAGCGGCCGCAAATTGCGCGTGTTGCGCACTGACAACGACGGCGAATTCACGGCGGCTGAATTCGCGTCGTACTGCGCCGATGAGGGCATCCAGCGCCACTACTCCGCGCCGTACAGCCCGCAACAAAACGGAGTCGTCGAGCGGCGCAACCAGACGGTTGTGGGGATGGCTCGGGCTCTCCTCAAGCAGCGAGGGATGCCGGCTGTTTTCTGGGGAGAGGCGGTGCTGACGGCCGTCTACATCCTCAACCGCTCGCCTACTAAGGCACTCGACGGCAGGACACCGTATGAG